CCTTCTCCCCTGCTTATCTATTCCTTTGTTTTCTCTCTTTTTCATTAGCCTTCTTTCTCTTAAACTATTTTTAATGTTTTATCTTTCTTTCATTCTCTCTCTCTATCATTCTTTCATCATCATCTCTCTTTCCTCCCTGCTGTCTATTTATCTCTTTATCTCTCTTATTCCTCTTTTATCACTCTCTCTCATTCCCAGCTTCTATGTTTGCCTATCTACGTTGTTGTTGTTGTTTTTTTTTCTCTCTCTTACTTTCCTAACGTCTTTTTATCTTCTCTCTCTCCTCCGTTGTTTTTTCCTTCCTCTTTCGTTTTTCATCATCTTTTCCTTCCTCCTTCGTCTTCTCTATCCACCTGTTCTCCCTTCTTCTCTATCCACCCGTTCTCCCTTTTCCTCTATCCACCTGTTCTCCCTTCTTCTCTATCCACCTGTTCTCCCTTCTCCTCTATCCACCTGTTCTCTTTTCCTCTATCCACCTGTTCTCCCTTCTTCTCTATCCACCTGTTCTCCCTTCTCCTCTATCCACCTGTTCTCTCTTTTCCTCTATCCACCTGTTCTCCCTTCTCCTCTATCCACCTGTTCTCCCTTCTCCTCTATCCACCTGTTCTCCCTTCTCCTCTATCCACCTGTTCTCCCTTCTCCTCTATCCACCTGTTCTCCCTTCTCTTCTATCCACCTGTTCTCCCTTCTCCTTTATCCACCTGTTCTCCCTTCTCCTCTATCCACCTGTTCTCCCTTTTCCTCTATCCACCTGTTCTCCCTTCTCCTCTATCCACCTGTTCTCCCTTCTCTTCTATCCACCTGTTCTCCCTTCTCCTCTATCCACCTGTTCTCCCTGTTTCTCTATCCACCTGTTCTCCCTTCTTCTCTCTCCACCCGTTCTCCCTTCTTCTCTATCCACCCGTTCTCCCTTCTTCTCTATCCACCTGTTCTCCCTTTTCCTCTATCCACCCGTTCTCCCTTCTTCTCTATCCACCTGTTCTCCCTTCTCTTCTATCCACCTGTTCTCCCTTCTCCTCTATCCACCTGTTCTCCCTGTTTCTCTATCCACCTGTTCTCCCTTCTTCTCTCTCCACCCGTTCTCCCTTTTCCTCTATCCACCCGTTCTCCCTTCTTCTCTATCCACCTGTTCTCCCTTCTCTTCTATCCACCTGTTCTCCCTTCTTCTCTATCCACCTGTTCTCCCTGTTTCTCTATCCACCTGTTCTCCCTTCTCCTCTATCCACCTGTTCTCCCTTCTCCTCTATCCACCTGTTCTCCCTTCTCCTCTATCCACCTGTTCTCTTTTCCTCTATCCACCTGTTCTCCCTTCTCCTCTATCCACCTGTTCTCCCTTCTCTTCTATCCACCTGTTCTCCTGTCTCCTCTATCCACCCGTTCTCCCTTTTCCTCTATCCACCTGTTCTCCCTTTTCCTCTATCCACCTGTTCTCCCTTTTCCTCTATCCACCCGTTCTCCCTTTTCCTCTATCCACCTGTTCTCCCTTTTCCTCTATCCACCTGTTCTCCCTTCTTCTCTATCCACCTGTTCTCCCTTTTCCTCTATCCACCTGTTCTCCCTTTTCCTCTATCCACCTGTTCTCCCTTTTCCTCTATCCACCTGTTCTCCCTTCTCCTCTATCCACCTGTTCTCCCTTCTCTTCTATCCACCTGTTCTCCCTTCTCCTCTATCCACCTGTTCCCTTTTGCTCTATCCACCCGTTCTCCCTTTTCCTCTATCCACCTGTTCTCCCTTCTCTTCTATCCACCTGTTCTCCCTTCTCCTCTATCCACCTGTTCTCCCTTCTCTTCTATCCACCTGTTCTCCCTTCTCTTCTATCCACCTGTTCTCCCTTCTCTTCTATCCACCTGTTCTCCCTTCTCCTCTATCCACCTGTTCTCCCCGTCCCCTCTATCCACCTGTTCTCCCTTCTTCTCTATCCACCTGTTCTCCCCTTCTCCTCTATCCACCTGTTCTCCCTTCTCCTCTATCCACCTGTTCTCCCTGTTTCTCTATCCACCTGTTCTCCCCGCCTCCTCTATCCTATTACATCCAAGGTAAACTCCCCTTAGCTGAACACTTTTGTCCCACGAATCAGCTGATTTGGATGGTATCAGCTGAGTTGGGGCTTCCCGGTCCTTACCCGGTTTGAATACCGGTCTGGAAGGGGCCCTGTTTTCTGCGTACTTTTTCTTTTATTTAATTCTATTTTTCTTTGCTTTTTTGTTGTTGTTTGTTTGTTTTCTTTTTTTTTGTCTTTTTTCTTTGTTTTTTGTTTTCTTTTTTTTCTCATTTCATTTTTCTTTCTTTCTTCCCTTTTTATATTTTTTTCTTTTCTTTTTCGTTTTTCTTGTTCTTCTCTCTTTTTTTCTTATTTTCTCTTTCTTTCATTCTTTTTTTTATACTTCTCTTTTCCTTTCTTTCTTTTAATTCCCTTTCTTCTTCTCCTTCTTCTTCGTCCTCTTCTTCTTTAGTCTTCTTCTCCTCTCTTTTCCTTTTTTATCTTCTACTTTCTTTTTCTTCTTCTTCTTCGTGTTCTCCGTCTTCTTCATTTTTTTCTTTTTCTTGTTCACCATCATATTCTTCTTCCTTTTTTGTTATCATCACTGTTATCAGTATATTCATTATTATTATTGGTATTATTATTTTTACTATTATTATTGTTATTATTGTTATTATTATTATTATTATCATTATTATTATTATCATTATTGTTATTATTATTATTATCATCATTATTATTATTATTATTATTATTATTATTATTATTATCATTATTATTATCATTATTATCATCATCATCATCATTATTATTATCGTTATCATTACTATCATTTTATTATTATTATTATTGATATTATTATTATTATTACTATTATTATTGCTACTATCATTTTCATTAGCATTGTTATCATTATTATTATTATCATTATTATTATTACCATTATTATTATTATTATTATTATTATTATTATTATTATTATTATTATTATTATGATTATCATTATTATTGTTATTATTATTATGATTATCATTATCATTGTTATTGTTATTACTATTATTTTTAGTAGTAGTAGTAGTAGGAATATTTTTGTTTTGTTGTTGTTTTTATTATTATTATGACTAATAACATCATTTTCATCATTATTATAATAAGCATTATTTTTATTTGTTGTTGTTGTTGTTATTTTTATTATATGTTTTTGTTTTAGTTATTATTAATGTTATCATATCGTCATCTTATCATCTCTGCCATTTCTATTACAATTATCATTATTCCTCATTATCATTTCATTAATTCATAATTACTATAATCAATATGACGTGAAGGAGGATAATCACCTTCGTCAATGCTATTAACATTATATTTTATTGCTATTATTAACATCACTATATGATCATTATCCCTCACTATCATCGTTAATATCTTATAATCACTATGATTATTATTACGTAGAATAATCATCTTTATCACTGTTATTGTTTATTTGTTTTTGTTTTCACCAAGTTCGCAATTTCGGTCAACATAAGCTGCGCGTCTGCAACAATGCTCGCTCACCTAACCTCCGGCCAGCAACAGGGTCGTGTTGCAGGAAATAGTTGCCTCTGTCTCGCCCGATCTTGCAGTATTATTATGTTGCACACGGGTTCGCATGTACATACACACTCACATGCATGTATGTACACACTCATTCACATGTACGTACACACACGCACGTATGTACGTATATACGCACTCATGTGATGAACATTCACACACACACACGCACGCACACGCATGTACTGCACACACACACACACACACACACACACACACACACACACACACACACACACACACACACACACACACACACACACACACACACATAAACACACACACACACACACACACACACACACACACACACACACACACACACACACACACACACACACATACACACACCTTTGACCTTGCAAGAGAAAACGTCGTACCTGGAGGGGAATCTTCGCCGAATTCCTCCCCCCACCTCCCCCTCCCAAGCTAACCCCTGCCCCCACCTCTTCCCTTTGCCCCTCCCTATACCCCTCCCCTTACCTTCCCCCTCCCCCTTCCCCTCCCCCCCTTCCCCTTTCCTCTCTCCCAATCCCCTTTCCCCTCCCCCTCCCCTCTCCCTTCCCCCCGACCCCTCCCCTTACCTTCCCCCTCTTCCTCCCCCTTCCCCTACGATACTCCAACCCCTCCCCCCCTTCCCCTCCCCCCCTTTCCCCTCTCCCTTACCCCCCGACCCCTCCCTAAACCCCTCCCCTTATCATCACCCTCTTCCTCCCCCTTCCCCTCTCCCTTCCTCTTTCCCCTTCCCCCTTCCCCTCCCCCTACCCCCCCTATATCTCTCCCTTTACCTCTCCCCTTACCTTCCCCCTCTTCCTCCCCCTCCCCCTACAATACTCCCCCCCTCCCCTCCCCCCTTCCCCTTCCTCTTTCCCCTCCCCCTCCCCCTCCCCCTGCCCCCCACCCACCTCGACCCCTTCCTATATCGCTACCCCTTTTCTTTCTCCCTCCCCCCCCCCATCCCTACCCCATACCACATACCTCATGATCTTTGAACGAGTCTATTTTTTAGTGTGTGTGTGTGTGTGTGTGTGTATGCGTGTGTGTGTGTGTGTGAGTGTATGTATTTGCAAATGCATGGATCATCCTCTTTTCACTTACCGAAAAGCATGAACGTGAGAAACTAAGATAATGTTGACCATCAAACAATGAGGCTTCGTTTTCCCAAGGGCTTCAGTTACAACAATATCTTACTCGCGTGTGTTCAAGCAAACAGGCATCGGCATGCAATCTGTCGTCGTCATCCTGCAATTCACTTTGCATAACGGACACAAATCTCTAGCCTCGCAGTCTCCCACATTAAAGCACACACGCACACACACATATATCCACACACAAAAAAAAAGATAAAACAAAAAAAACACACAAACATAAACAAAAAAACAAACACACACCTTCATATCAGTAACACTGTCCCTCTCCACAG